AGGATTGGCAATAGATGTTAGCTCAGGGCCAGTCCTCCTCAGCAAGAAAAGAGGAGGATTAGCACGGATGTCAGCTCAGGGCTGATCTTCCCCACAAAAAAAAAAAAAAAATGACTAGGGCTGCTACTAGAAGTGGGTGATAGTAGTGCTAGTAAAGGCTGCCCCTGGTACATTGTAGATGGTCGATAAATAACTGTTGCTTGAATAAACAAATGAATGAGTTGGCCACTGAATGCGTAGAAGGCTGAAGTCTCCTGGCTTCCTCAAATTGCCTTCCCCAAAGCATTGATCAGATTCTGGCTTCAAGGCCAGGGATATTCTCGAAATTCAGTTGCCATGGCTCAGGGTCCCAGGTCTTCCTGAGCAGACCAAGGCCCACTTGACCAAAGACTGGGGCAGAAATAAGAGAGTCCTTGAAGTCTCAGGGTTGGAAAGAACTGTAAAGGTAGTGCAATCTGTCTCTTTATCCCGTGCTGGAGTCCCTTCTCCAATACTCCTGCCTGGTCTAATCTGTTGGCATCCTGAGCCTTAGCAGAAGGCCTGTCACTGAGTCTCAGCAATATTTGCTGTGAGAAACAATGAATGAATGAACTCCTGGTGACTCACCCAGGACTATCACAAGCCATCCTAGTCTTCCTATAACCCACTCCTTGCCCCTGAGGTGAGGGCCTGGAGAAACAGCAAACTGCTTGTCTATGGTTACGGTCAGCAAGGTCACATTCTGTTGGACTGGAGTTGGTTAGAGTGGCTCCCTTGGAAGAGACAGCTGGATAGAGTGGCTCCTCTGAAAGGGATAGCCATTCTCAATGTCAATTCCCTAGGGAAGAGGTAGATCCTCACATAAGATACCAGGATTCAGAGGCTGGCCTGAGGTAGAGCGGAGGGAGCAGCATATTTTTGTCTGGAACACAGGCTCTAGGTCGAGACATTTGGAGGACAGGAGTTGTCTAGATGAGGATTCTAGGTGGTGGGTGCGAAGACAGCTCCCACTACACAGAGGTAGGCTGCGAGTTGGATGAGGCAGGGTCTGGAGGCCCTGGAAAGCAGGCAGCCCGGTAAGTCAGATTAAGCTCATTAAAGTACTCATGGTTTATCTTCCTGCTATCATCCTCAACCCTTTAATAAGGTCTGATGTGAATACTTGATCCTTATGTTCTTGTGCTAAGAGGTACAGGGAGATATAAGGGTTTATCTTTCCGGCAGACTGTTAAAGAATGAGCATGGAGTGGTAGGGGTAACTAGTGAGGTCCCAGAAAAGGAAGGAGAATATGAGGGGTCAAGAGCTGGTGTTTGAGGCACTCTCCACTCTAACAAGAAAATCTCGCACCAGGTCTCTTAGTGAGGCTGGAATTTATCATCATTAGGAAATTATCTTATTAGGGATTATCATTTGTAATCACTGGAGCACCCAATAATTCTTCCCAAGAGCATGGAAAGAGGCCCAGCTCAAATCCCATTTTGGGGAGGCCAATGTAACGATTCCATCTCCTAGAGGAGAAGATAACTTTTGGATCAACTCTGAGCTCAGTTCCATTTGGACAGAGGGAGGATTCCGTAGATTGGTTATTAGTGACCCACCTGAGGGAATTAAGGCTATGCTTAAATTGGCAGCTGATAATAACCTTGAAATAAAGTTGGCAACAACTTGGGAAAATCAGAGAATTGGTCCTGTAAAAACGCAATGAGAAGAAAAAGAAACCACTAGAGGGTAACGGACAGGATACTGGCAAGAGTCACCCTGAAAAGCTGGCTATGCCACAGAAGCAGTCCTAGTGAACAACTGTTGCTGGGAGTGAAGTCAATAATTAGACAGTCCAGGGTCTGGAAATCTCTTTTGGGGAGTGAACTGGTTAAAGGAAGATCTGAAATCTACACAAATAGATAAGAGACAGTGAAATGTAGCTAAAACATAAGACAGTTGTTCAAAAAAGAATCTAACAGGCTATCCATAAAGGGACCCATGTTTTCAATTTGATCCATTACAGGAAAATGAAAAATAGTCCCATGATACTGAGAAACAAAGTCCTAGACCTAAAACTATACTTGATTAAAGTTACCCAAGGTGATAGCTGAGAGTATTCTGTTTAACCCGAACTGCACTAAGCCTACCGGCTTTGGCACAAATGACATCGCAGCAGCACTGACAGACACATTTGCACAGCAAGGAGCCCCCCACCTGTAAAACTGCCTCAAACTCTCCAGAAGTTCCTGAGGGGCCTCACACAAAGTCAGCACCAATCTTTTCCTGTTCTTCTCAACTGGTCCCCATTGATACCTGCTGCCTAAAGGCTAGGACTGGTATCTGGATGCTCTAAGGGAAACTACTTCCCTGATATCCTCCTAAGGTTCTCTCCAAACTGCCAAACCTTGATGCAGCAAGAACTTCTGAATGCCCTTCGGTCCTCCTTCATCAGACAGAGTCAAACATATTTCAGCACAGAATTGGAGAAACGTCCATTAAACCTGGAAATATTCCTTCTTAGAGTAGGGTCTAATGGGAGAATACTGAGGTAGGGAGCACTTCTGTGTTGTTTATATAATGACAAAGAGAATGAACTACCTTTAGAAACAGCAAAACAGCAAAGATATATTTCCATTTTGAAAAAAATAAATAGGGATACTGACTTGGGTTTCTTAGACTGGCTGTTACTTTACCCATATTTTAAGCTTGAAGAATCTCTCCGTGGTCTCCACTTAGTCCTCTTGCAGCATTTCCTATCTCAGTGAAAAGTACACCATCCAAGGAGTTGTTTGAGTTAGAAATGTCAGCTTTGATAGCTATCTTTCCTTCATATTTTTTCCTTCAGTCTCCAGAACCAATCTATATCCAGTTCCTGTCAAATTTACTCCAAAATACTTCTCAAATAGTCCACTCCTCTCCCTTTCCACCATCTCTACCCTAATCCAAGCTACCTTCATCTTGCCCAGACTCTTACAATTGTCTCTCAAATAGTCTTAAGTGGTCCACTCTAATCTGTGGACCCCTCTCCAATCTCTTCTCTACCCAGCAGCCAGAATGATCTTTTCAAAGTGCAAAGCTGATGATGTCATTTTCTGTCTTAGCCTCCTAGTGTGTTTAGTACAAAAATCAAAATCTTTCATAAGGCTTTTTGTAGTCTAGCCTCTGACAATTTTTCCAGATACTTCCACTACATTCTCAGCCCTACAATCATAGCAGCCTTGGTTCCTCGAAATGCCCACCCTTTTTCCTACCACAGGATTCTTACACATGCTATTTTCTCTATCTGGTACATATTTCACTTCCCACTTCATCTAGTTAACTCCGACTCATTGTTCAAGTCAGCTCATAGTCACTTCTTCAGGGAAGCCATCTTTGAGCCCCAAGACTAGGTCGAATGCCACTACTATATTTGTTCATAGCATCATGAACCTTTCCTTCATAATACTTACTAAAGTTATAATTTTATATTCATTTGTGTATTTACTACTTTAATACCCGTCTCTGTCACTAGAGAGTAAACTCCATTTGGGCAAGGACCATGTTTATTTTTATACCTTTGTAATTCCAGAACATACACAGTGTCCAGACACATAGGAGGCATTAAATAAATATTTGTTGAATAAATGTTAAGTTCCTGCAGGGGAAAGTGGTTCTTTCCTATAACAGCCCTCAAGTTAAAAATTCCAGGGTACATGTGAGAGCTGGCTTTCCAAATTTTAAGCAAGGAATCTCCACACATACCACTCACATCTTGAAGGATTTTATACACTTATCTCTTCGGTCAAACAAGTGACGCTATCTTGAACTCTTTGGAGATGACAGGAGGCAGTATAAAGAGCTCAGGTGAACTTACCCCTATGGTAGACGCCATGTAGTCTGCACACATTTCTGCAAAGTCCCGCTCAAGAACTCCATAGTAGAGGCCATAGAAGAGGAGAGAAATGCCAAAGTCCATGGCATCTTCTGGTTTGATCCTGTAAGGGAAGCAGCATGACCTGTAAGGGCTGCCCTGAGACACATTCGCTTTGAATTACTACTCTGGGACACAGAAGGCAGCACTTAAAGTAGGAAGGCTCAAGGGCCAGAGCAAGTGTTGGCAAACTAAGACCAAATCCAGCCTCCTGCCTATTTTTATATTGCCCATGGGCACCACTTGAACAGGCTAGCACTGTGAGCTGCAAAGACCAAGCCAGGGTATCCCCTTCTGCTGCTCTTCCCCACTCTGTTCCCAGGCCTGCCTGCTCTGACTGGTGACCAGGCCTTGCAGCTGCCTAGGACCCGCTCTGGTTGGCACCTACATGTTGGGGACTCTGCTGTTGGAAACTGCGGGACACCAAGCAGTGGAATTTCAGTCTGGAAGTTGGCAACTCTGGCAATTCATTGAGTTGCCTCATCTCCAGCTAGCTGCTGAGGTTGAAATGGCTGAGCCCTCCAAAAGGAGGGAAGGGCACACCAGGATCTGGGTGTCACTAGAGCAGAGAGTGAAAATGATCCCAGGGGTCACAAACCCTGTCAGGCCCCTCCTTCTGAGAATGTCTCATCTAATGGCAAGTGGGCAAAAAGTATGCCCACCATCTGAGGCAGCCCACCCGGGGAAACCGGGTGGGCAAGGGAGGCGTTTTCTCTCTCGTTATAAAAGTCTGTATAATACCTAGATTTTGCCTTTTGTCCCACAAAGTCTAAAATATTTATTATTTGGCCCTTTATAGAAATAGCTTGCCAACTACAGCTTTAGGAAAAAAAAGGTAAAATTAGTCAGTTAGTAAATACATAACAGTTACCATAAAATTTTAAGTTGCATCTATACATATTCTGTGCCATATCATTAAAGTTAAATTTTGGTCCAAGTCTATTTACTAAGAAGGAGAAAGATCTTGCCTGTAATATTAGGAGGTTTGTTTTAATAATTCCAAGGACCAAGGATTTACAACCTTGAGTCTATAAATGTTTATCATAGGAAAATTCATTTTTTAAAACATTTGTACCAGGAACTGTATGTGTTCACTTAAAGTTGTAAACTATATCCTAGAAAGTTGAATTTGCTCATCAATCTAGTCATATTTAACTACTAACTAGACATCATGATCTTACACCAATTAACCTGACTAGTTACATAAAAATGGTCAAGATTCTCAATTCTGCTTTCCTCTTTGTATAGTTTATACAAACTATGTAGTTTATACAAGTAAAATCAAACTATAATTATAGAATAAATATCTTTAAAACATAATGCAGAATCTTGATTTTTGTTTTTTTAACCACACAGGTTAAGATGATTTCTGGAAATATCTTGGTTTTCTTTGATGAGATGTGTTAGCCTCTACACCGATGAGTTCCTGTAAACCTTTGTGGAGCCTGTTTAATCTTGCAGCCTGTACTACCCCTAGAAGTGTAGTACATGGGTGTCCTCTCACTATATAAAGTAGGACTTAATCCTTTCCATTTCAAAGAGACTCCTGCCTACAGTGTACTAGGTTTGGGAAAGAGGCCAGTGTCATGAATTTAAATTTGAATCCTAAATCTCTTTAGTTTCAGGGCACTGTCCCAGGCTTAGGACTTCTCATAATCCACAGCCCACCGTCACCATTACATCAGCCAGGAAACCCCATTTCCACCCTCTTCTGCCCTACTTAGTGTACCCTCCAGTCTCAGAGGCTAGGATTTCTCAGCTTCCGCCTCATTTTTGGGTGGGGGAATCTATATGCTGATACAAATCTTTTGGAAAGCTTATGACAATATGAAGCAATAACCAGAATCCCTCTCCTGGTAATGTAACCTTAGGAAGCAACACAGCAATATTACCTGTGATAGCACTAAAGTGAAAAACAACCTAAGTGCCCAACAGTGCAGCAGGACTTAAACATCCACAGGTTAACTTTCTAGAACTATTTCCTTAGAAATCTGATGGAGGTGGAATGTCAGCTGTGTTACAAAGCAACAATGCTTATATGTCAGATATGATCTGTGATTACTACACTACATCTGGACTGGGAGATTCTTAAAACTGGATGTGTTCTTTGCGGGGCAGGTGGGGGGCTTCTGGGCCAAAGACCACCCCTCTGTGAGGTCTCATTCCCTCACATCTCAGCCCTGGGACTACTGTGAAGACTTGTGCAGACACTGCCCCTGCTGTTTCCTGTCTTGTATCCTTCTGGGTGGGTCTGTTGCCAGATGTGGCCAACCTGTCGCATGAGTTCGATTGTCTAGTCCAGGGGTTGGCCAACATTTTCTGTAAAGCGTCAGATAGCAAATATTTTAGGTTTTGTAGCCCATATAGCCTCTGCCACTATTATCCAACTCTGCTGTTTTAGTGCAAAAACAGCCTGAGACAATGTGTAAAAAAATGAGTGTGACTGTGTTTCAGTAAAAATTTTTTTTCTTTTGTAAAAACAGGTGGCAGGCCAATTTGGCCCACAGGACATAGGCTGCCAACTCCCAGTCTCCTTAAACATAAAACCACTCAGGTAGAATGGATGTTGCAATAAACAGTATACACATAGACAACGAAAATCCTTCTACTAGGGTGGCAGAGTCATGGGTAACTGGCTATAATCATTATCCTGCTTACTTTTGTTATTACACTTTTCCACTAAAACTTACATTCCTGGAAAATATAACCAATGATTTGGGACTCTGACTTTGTATATATCTAGACATTCCGCAAAAATCCTGAAGGGCCCACCCTCCTATCCCCCACAGCCCAGGTCTCTCCTACCCTGGCTGCCATGTCCCCCTTATTAACACCCAGGACTTGCAGCAGGAAGAAAGGTACATCTCACCAGCTCCTCCTCCCCACACACCAGCAAAAACAAAAGCAAAAGGTACTCACTTGAATAATAAGCTAAGACCAAAGAGGGTAAACATGACAGCCATGTAGCCAACGATGCCAGTGGCATAGCTGATTTTATAGATCAGCAGGAACCACTTATAAACCAACCTGGAGAAAGGAGAGAAAATTAGTATAGCTGACTCGGAAACTCTGGCTGAGGGGCCTCTGGACCACCAGAATACTTATTCTCACATCAATGGGGACATCACGCTCTTTGCTGAAGACTTATTGTGCCACTTCAGCTACTGTACAAAGTTGGTCACTCCCTTCATTACAGAAACACCTCCGTATACCAGGGAGCTAGTGCTTTGTATTTTCCTGGTCTCAGACCAAGAGAAGAAAACAGAGCTTTAAAAGGAGGTTTCAGCCTCAAAGAGAGAGCACAGCTGGCCTTAGACAGCTACGTCTTCTCAAATTCAGGTTAGTTGGATAAGGAAGGGAAAACTAGTAACCATGGCTATGCTCACAAGGGAACAGGTCGGGAAGGCTGTTCTTGTCAAGAAAGAATTCAAGGGAAGAGGAATAAGGGGTAGAATTAGCTACAAGCTTTTGTACATGGGCATGGTTAATCTGAATACTGCTTTGCTCCTATCCACAGGGCAATAATGAAATGGATGATGTCCAATGAATTTGCTTCTGAAATGATTTTTTTCTGGAGGAGAAGGGATATGGAGGGAGTCACTCAAAGAATACCTTTGAATTGGATCTAAGTGTGTAATGATGGCGGTGGAGTGGAGCGGGGCTGCGCAATGCTTCTGATGGGGAGCACTGTTCCCTAGGATCCGATAGAAAGCTGTGTGGAATCCGGCTCGTTGACCCCAGCTAGGTTCAGAGAGGAAAGACGGTTCCCTGAATGTACCAAGCCTTTTAAATGCTATGGGGGTAGGTCCCTGATATTAGGATATCATCTATCTGTGATAAGAGCTATTGAACAATTTAGCAATTTGCTTGGATAACCAGCACAAGCCTACTTGTTACTGCCAAGCCTGCTGCGCCCCAGGAAGGAAGCTCAAGGTCCCTGCCTGTGCCTCCCTGATGTGGCTAAGCAAGGGGGGATTGGCTTCTCAGGCTAGGGAAAGGCCTCAAACATCTTGCAGTGCCTGCTCTCAAAGACCACAAATAGCTCCATTATCCGGGGCTTGCACTGATCAGACGGGAGTGAGATACAGTGGAAAAGATGTGGAATCTGGATTAAGTGAGGTTTATTAGCTGGGTAACCCCAGGCAAGTTACATCACCTCTCTGAGACAAATTTACTTATTTGTAAAACGGGAAAACCGTGCTACCTTTCTCCCTGGATTGTACAGAGCCCATTTCCTGGTGTATATGATACGTGCACAATAAATGCTTCAAGAATAAACGCGGATGTTTATGAAAGTGCTTAGAAACTGTAAAGCATTATCAAATGTTAGTTATCATTACCTAAAACCTCCCACGTTACAGACATATTTTCAATAATTTTAGCTAGAAGTTGATACTGTTTGCTACTTGGTGACTCCTAACATGCTTTATTACACTTTTTCTTCCTATCACTCTACATGAGATAGCAACTATCGTCACACTTTTAGGGATAAAGAATTCAAGGCTAAGAAAGGTGAAGTCACATAGGTTACATAATTAACAAGTGGCAGGGCTGGAGTTTCTACTCCACATCCATCTGGCCCCAGAGCCTGTATCTTCTATAATGGCCCTTAACATAAAGTAAACAACCACAACCAGAGAGGATCATCAACTGTACCTTGAAGATAAATTTTACTTTGTGCAATGAAACTCAGACAGCCAAAGAGAGGCCTGCGGTAAAATGCAACATAAAAGGCAGGGGAAAAGAGCAACTGAAAATGGGAAGACTTTGGATCAAGTAGTCACAACTTTGAGGCTGGCCAGTTCCTGTGTTGGGCTCTTGTGGACCTGTACACACATCTCTCAGAGCACTTACCAACTGTACTGAGACAGCTGCTTTCTTGTCCATCTCCTCCATTAAACCGAGCACTCCTTGAGGGCAGGGACCATGTCTTATCCAGCTCTGTATCCCCAGCGCTCAGCACAGGGCCTGACACATAGCAGGTGCTTGTTGAATGAATGAATGAGAAAACCTCTTTCTTTCTGTCAAGTACAGATATTAAATAACCTCACAAGCTGGTTGGGAGGATCAAAGGAGAAATGCATTTGGATAAAATACAAAGAATTATACAGGCAGGGGCTGCTTTGTGACCCAAGAAGGAAGTACTGTTTGTTGGAAAAGTACAAATTTGCTGAGATTCATTCATTCAACAAAAATTCACAGAAAGGCTCCTCCTATGTGCCAGGCCCTGTGGCAGGGCCTGGATATACACTGACAAACAAAATGGAGGTGGTTCCTGATCTCATAGTTATAGTTTAGTGGGGGAGATAGACACTCAAACTAATATTTAGTTATAAATTGCGAAAAGTTCTATGAAGGAAAACTATAGGGCACTATGAAAGAATATAAGAGAAAATCTAATTTAGAGATCAGAAAAGGGTTCACAGAAGAAAACATTTAAAATGAGACTGCGATGATCACCACGATTTGCTTACTTATTCTGTTTGTTTTTAATATAAACAGACCTTGATACAAACCATAAAGTAAGCTATAGGTAAATATTTTGAGGTTTTTATCTGTGAATGGGGGGTAGGTCTCCCAATCAGCTTGTTTTGGTGGGGCCCTGTGCCAAGTAACCTTGGCAGACAAAAACTGCAATTTTTCAGTCTAAACTGACCCCCATCCCCGGCATCCCAACCCGTCAGCTTCAGGAAACCTAGCTTCTCATCACCACTACCTCAACTCTCACCTTGGCGTTGTCTGTACTAGTGGTTTTCGGGTGGCTCGGAAGGTGACAAATGCTGTGACAGCAGAGAACAAGATCCAGATCACTAGGAACCTCCACCAGTGCAGCTTCACTGTGAAATAGAGGGGAACAACCCACATCTGAAAGAGGGTCACCATCTGAAACACAAACACAAGCACTTCAGCTCTAGGCAGCGCCCTCTGCAGCTCCATCCACAAGTCCAGAGTGCATCCTGTATGTTCCATTTTAGCCTGATCCTCTCCCACATTTCCAATTTTGGATAAAGGCACCCCCAATGATCTAAGTTATACACCTGAGCCCATGCTTTTTTTTTTTTTT